AGACAGAGAGAGCTTTAGAAATATGAAGATATTCAAACATCATATTAGAGAGACTAATATGATAACCTACCACATGTCTATACCAAGATTCAACAGTTAGGTTTTGCTACATTCGCTTCATTAGTCCATTCTCTCTCATTTTCTGGAGATATTTTTTAACAAATGAGTTTTCAAGAAGCAGATTTTAAATAGTGGTTTTCATAAAAGTAGCATTGGTTTTCATAGAAGTAGCATTTGTTTTCATAGAAATAGGATTAGTACCTTGTCATACTTCACTGATTCCACTGTATGTACCATTGCTTTTTATTTATTTGACCTCTGTTGATGGATCCAGGTTATTTCCATTCTATTTGCTATGATAAGAATGTTCAACCCAGGTATAAACATAATTTGCCATGTGGGCATTTGTATCTGTAGGATCATTTTCCAAAAGAAGGATTGCTAGGTCAGAGGCTACACTTAGAATTTCAAAAGATGTCACAAAATTGCCCTTTCTAAATGTCATACCGTTTTGCATTCCCTCAGTAGGGTATGAAGGTAGCGATTTACTCAGTCTTGCCAACACAGTGCTGTCAAACTAGCATTTTTGCTAGTTCTACTGGCAAGTACAAGTTGGTTGTAACTTTTATGAAGGTTAAGCTTCCTGTCCATTTTCATCTTTCCCTTTTGTATATGAGAGGGAGAGTTCAATAGATACCTTACCTTACAGCTTGGGTGACAGTGCTTGCTTTACAAACTTTTAACTTTGAAAAGAAGATAAATTATGTTTGTGATAGGCATATAGCAGTCTAAAACAAGCTTTCGTGACTGGAGTTAATTTCTCTTACCATAATAAATGGAGGAAAAAAATCCTATGTGGACATAGTCAGTACTTGCAGAAAGCTATCAGTTAAGAAGCAAAATCATCTAGCTCTAACAACGATACCTTATGGGCTGAACTGTCCCCCTTCCAAAAATTGCTTAAGTCCTAACCCCCAATACTGTGAATGTGACTTTATTTGGAAATAGGGTCTTTGCAGATGATCAAATGAAGATGAAGTAACTAGAGTGGGCTCCAGCAAACAAATACAATATTTCTTCTTTTTTTAAAATCTAGTCTTTCATTATTCTTAAACTCTATTTTAGAAATTGTTTTTGAGCAGGAGAATAAAGACACAAAGAGCCTAGTTTTTCAAATGATAACACTCAATACTTCTAATGCATAAGTAAAATGTCATGATGTCTGGGATTTATTTTCATATACTACAGTCACTAAAAAAGGGGAAGGTGAGATACAACACACTGCACTCTATTTTCTAAATGTCTTGTTAATTATTGCCTGAAAATATATTCAGAATGTATCCTCATGTTCTAATTAAGAAATGACATTTCTTTCACATCTACTATGTGTGAGGCAATGCTGTAGGCATTGAGGATATTAACATGGGTAAAAAAAAAAAAAAACAAACAAACAAAACTTGTGCTCCCTGGGAGTAATTATCAGATATAATTTTTAAAGTAAAGCAAATTAGGCTTCCTTGGTGGCTCAGACAGTGAAGAATCTACCTGCAACGTAGGAGACCAAGCTCAGGTTGTCTCTGGGTCTGGAAGATCCCCTGCTGATTGAAGGGCTGCCTATGCCAGTATTCTTGTCTGGAGAATCCCATGGAAAGAGGAGCCTGGTGGGCTAGAGTAAGTGAGGTCGCAATGAGTCAGACATGACTAAGGGACCTTCCCTCACTCATTTACAAAATTATCACCACAGCCCCAAGTAGAAAAATATACTTTTTTTGGGAAAAATATACTTTTAATAATTGCCATGAGTCATGCCCAAATGATAAATTCACTTGCTTCCAACTTTCTCTTGTGGCTTTTCATCAACTTCTAATCATGCTAAGATATTCTTTACTAAGTGCTTAGTCAATCAAAGTTCATTATCTCCCCTTACTGTCACCTGATATGAAATAATACACTAAGCATTACAATGTCTCATTTTTCATTTTTGTAACAGTGGCATGGAGCCATTGTAATAATTAGTTTCAAATAAAAAAGAAAGATGACTTTGTGACTATTTGGAATACTAAGTCTAGGTTACATTTTAATGTTTTTTGTTTTCTGATTACAAGCCTTCTCAGGAGTTTAAACAGATATTACATAAGTATACTTAAAGTCTTACAAAGCATCTAAAAGAGTATTGGCAGGGAGGAAACCCAGAACTGAGAGTAGGTTCCCCCAAACTTCTGACACTACTGTGCTCACTAGATTCTGAGATACATTACTCATTGCTCTGAACTGCCATTAGGAATTCATTATCTCCTAGTATCTTCAGAGCGTTTGCTGGTTAAGGAGCAGACATCCCTGAGGATACTATTCGGTATTGTCCTCCATTTTGCTGCTGCCTCCCTCCAGGCGCAGCCTAGGGACCTTAAGTGTCTTGGAAGGTGTAAGTAAGCTTCATTTGTAAGCTCTACTCATAAATAAAAACTTACCATAATGCTTTTAAATCAAGGCATATCAGATATTTCAGATGGTGATATATAATTAACTGCTGTTTTTATTCCCAGTGATCAATGTCTGCATCCTTTACCACTAAATTATCTTTGAAAATCACACTGTAAAGTATGCAGCATTGTAGCAAATCAATTGCAATGAATTGATACAATGGTTAAAACTTAAGAATTGTATCTAAAAGAATCCTCAGTATTGCTCCATGAGTAATGTGAAGTACTTTATGAACTTGTCAATGAAAAGGCAACTTTAAAGACAGTTAAGTTGTACACATGCTCAGTGGAAAATTAGGCAGCCCTTTAGGGAATGTTTCAAAGGTGGTCGACCTGGAAAATTCTTAGGGAGTCAAATGGGATTTTGCTTCTGATTAGTTTGTCTGCACTTATCTCAACCCCAGGCTAGAAGTGATTTTTCTAGGCTGTGGTTATCCCTGACAGATGAACTGGCTTCCTAATCCTAATCCAGGAGCTGGAAGGGAAAATATGATCAACGTTATACAGGAATGGTTTCGAGGTTTGCCTTTTAGTTACAGGTTATCCAGCTAACTGGCCTTTATTGGTCATGTTTAAAGTTTTCGACTTTAATTGGTTATATATACACATCTAGTTTTTGGTTGGCTGAAATATTTAATCCTTTTAATCAGTTCCACCAAATAGTCTATATTTGATCATATCCACTCACAAACCACAAGGCTGTCATTTTTGTAGCTGGTCAGACAATGACTGATCAGGACTTCGCATCTGGTTCTAAGAAAATAGAAATTTTGACAAGAAATAACTATGGAGTCGTTAGGTAGAAAACAACAGGGGCAAAGGAAGGAAGCGTTATTTTGGGAAGAAATACCGTAAATACACACAGCGCAGTATTTTTGGCCACACATCTTTGGGCATTGTGTGAGACAATGTCTGCATTTAATTTGAGGTTCAGTATTTTGTTGTTTAGGAAATACAATGTAGAACTGTTAGTAGGTTCCACCAAACTTCTGACACTATGATGCTCACTAGATTCTGAGATACGTTACTCACTGCTCTGAACTGCCGTTAGCAATTCATCATCTCCCAGTACCTCCAGAGGGTTTGTTGGTTAAGGAGCAGACACGGGGCTGAGGATACTATTTGGTGCCTGTTTACAGTTTCGCTGCTGCGTCCCTCCAGGCGCAGCCCAGGGACCGCCCGCTGAGGGTCCTCCAGGAGCCCGCGCAGAGCGCAGCGGGACCCGAGTGACAGGCCCCGACGCTCGCAACCGCCACGCGAAGAGCCGGCGGCAGCGACCGTGCGCGCCCACAGCCCGCGCGGGGACGCGCCTTTGGGTTGGGGCGGGCAGCGCGCGTCCTCGAGAGCCGCCGGGGAAGGCTCCGCCGCCGCCGCGCGCGCCCGGCAGGCCCAAGAATGAATGGAAAGTTCAATCTCGCGCGCTCCGCGCGGACAGCCAATAGTGCGGCCCGGAGCGGCGGCGGGCAGGTGTGCGCGTGCCGCCGCCTGACGCAGGGCTCCAGTCGAGCAGTCTGGTGTCGCCGCCGCCGCCGCGCCCCGCGGCCCCCCCACCCCAGCCCGGCCCCCTCCCCGCCGGGCTGTGGCGGCCGAGCGGCGGCGACAGCGGATTCCAGTCCGGCAGCCGAGCGCCGCCCTCGCTCCCCGGCCCCTCCGCGCCGCGTCCCCTCGCCGGCTCACAATGTGCTGAGCGGCCCGGCCCCGCCGCGCGCATCCCGGGTGTCCGGCCGCCGCGCTCCCTCAGGAAGTGACAGAGTCCAGGCCCCTTCCTCCGCCCCGTCCCCGGACTGAACGCCACACACGTACTCACACCCTCTCCCCCGCTCTACCCGAGCGAGCAACGCGACCATGAGGCCCCGGAGGTAAGCAGCGCGCCCCGCGGCCGGGCGAGTGCTCGAGGGGCTGGGTGTGCGCGCGGGTGCCGACGGCGCTCGCGGCCCCGGGTCTGGCACGTGAGCAACGTCGAGGGGAGCTCGGTGCGGCGCAGCCGGGAGAAGGAGGAGGCGTGAGCGCCAGGGAGGGGGACGAACGGGGCCAGGTGGGGAAGTAACAGGTCTCGCAGCAACTTGCTGTTCGGGAGCCGGACCGGTGTCCTGCCTTCGCCGGCCCTGATTTATTGCCCCCGTGTTCCCACCGAGATGCGGGCAGGCGATGTACTTCCGGGTTCACACCTTTCTCTCCCAGCTCCGAGCCGCTGGGTCGGCGCTGTGTGCTGGCGCGGCATTGCCTGCGTGGCCGCCGGGTCTCACCGTAGCCTCCGGTTTGCCGCCCGGCCGCTGGAGCTGGCGGGCCGGCTCGGGGTGGGGGTGGGGGGGCGCGGGCCACTCGGGCGCGATGGTGCGGCGCGGGCTGGAGTCCTGGCGGCGGGTTCGGGCGCCTCGAGCCCGCGGGGCTGCGCCGCCAGGGGGCGTCCGCTCCTGCCCTTCGCGCACTCCGCTGCGGAGCTGCTTTGTAGCCGCAGGCGTCGGGGATCCTTTTTGCTTCGGGATTGGTAATGTAAATTCATGAATTAAAATTAAGGATTTGAGGAGAACAGAGAAAAACGCGCTTGGATCTAGGTTGCTTTTGAAAAGGAAAAAAGCCAAAGAAGAATCGATACATTCTCAGGAGCAGTAACGGAGTACTGACTGAACTGTGAATGCGGTTGCCTTACGAGGATTTGTACTCCCAAAACTTTTTTTTTTTTTAAACTACACGTTGGTAAATATTGAGTGTTTTCGAGTAACATCTTGCAGTATGTATTTAGTGCCCTCATTGCGGAAATTTTTTAAATGTAAGTAATAGTCCGCCATTTTGAATTGTTTCATGTAACACAGACTGAAATCTTAGGTTCCTGTGTTTCCTTGAGTTCCTTTCTGATCTCTCTCTGGATTTGTTTTCATCCACAGGATATTAACGTTATCAAGTATTATTACTGCTCATAGAACTAAATTCTCCATTGAGGATTTTTATCCCTATAGCTGTTAACGCAAGGGAAGATAGACTCGTGTTTTATTGCAGTTTTTAATTTCTTGGTCAAAATATTGTGGAAGTTAAAATTACACATGACAACTGATGTTAGAATGAATTTAAAACATTTAACACCATCCTTAGAAAAGTATGACAAAATGATTTTTACTTGGATGAAAAAAATCCTTTCATTTTTTGTTCAGATTATTAGCGTATTTAGTTAGGTGATAATGCAATAACGCTTTTTAAAATGCATCTGACAGTAAAGCATATTTTTAAGTCCAACAATAAGTTATGAAACATCACAGTTTAATTTTTTAAGGACTTCAGGGAAACTTCAAAATTTTAAATTGAACTATTGGAAATTTATGCCAATCTGTGTGATTTTCAAAATACAAATGTAATTATTATGGAATTTATGCCATTAGTTTTTTTCTGTTATGGGTTTGCACTAATGTAATAGAGAAGTCATATTATAAATTAACAACACAATAGGTAATACTGTTCCATTTAGATTAGTGATTAAATAGATCCTTGTTCATTTGGGGAACAGCTCTTGCTTCCCATTATTCTTTCTCTCTGAATGTATGAAATAGGGCAATCCAGTGTGCCCAAATTTCCTAAAGAGCTTTAAGAGTTAAATTGACATAGGCCTCTTTCTAGTACTTGCTGGGGAGGGAAAGGCACTAAAAATGAATAAAATGCTTTATTTGACTTTGCCATTTTGCAAATAGGATCAGCTAATCATTGCTTGATATTAAAATATCGAGAGAATTTAAGGATATGAATCAATTTGTAGTTCATGTTGGTTATTAGAACTGTTTATTGATGCTCCTCAGTAGATCTGGAACCAAATAATTCAGTGATCAAGCCCCATTAATCCTTGTCAAATTGTAGAGTGTCTTATTATATGTCTTTGCCAAATTTCTTTCAGAGACAATGAAAAATTTGTGAAGTTAATCAGGATTTAGATTAAAAATTGTATTAATGGGGGTAAATGAAGTGAAGTATACTTTTGTGTAAGCGAAATAGATTAAGTTTTAGTATGGTAGTATTCAAAATTAATCTTCAGAATGACTTAAAGTGTGTTGTACATGTAAATTAAAAAAACAAACACTAGAATTTTAATAAATATAGTGGATATAAGCCTTTTTTTTTCCCCCTGTTTACTCTGAACAAAGAGATTAAGCAGATCTGATCTAATAGTTTGATAATGTTTGGTATCTAATCATGTCACTTTTTTGTATTTATAACACACTGCTATCATAATTTACAAATCATAATTAAGAGAAAAATAAGTTATTAAATAAAACTTGTATGCATGTTTTCAGGTAACCGTCTTCATGACAGTCTTCAGGTATAGAGTTGATGTTTCTTTAAACAAAGTGCTATTTAAAACTGCCAATTTTGGGGACCTTATTAGGAAACACAAGTCAGGAAATGATCTGTTAACATTTATCTTAATCCATGGTAGAACTGATTGGAGAAAAAGGAAAATGGAGATTTAGAGATGAATCAGTTCAGAAGTAATTAAGCTATTGATTATGAAAGGGACTATATAAAATTTTAGTCAACTAAAGGGTTTTCTTATTTGGTAATTTTTAATGGAATATTATTTTCTTTTAAAAATCTGTAGTCATAAATACTCCTAAGGTTTTATGTTTAAATGCGTTAGAGCCTGTACTTGATTTTCTTGCCTTTTGAAGGAACTGTGTTTGGATTCTAAGTATTGTTTTTGAACTGTTTTTGATGAACCACATAGTAAAGAATTTCTAGTTTGTCATACATAACTAAAAATTCTTTATATTACAATACTTAAAATTGATCTATATGATCGTATCTAGGAATATATGGAGTATAGAATCATATTGGTTTGAGAAACTTACCCAGTATATACCTGGACACTGTGTTGGATTTCTCTAACAGTGACTCTCTATGAAGTCGCTGACCATAGTGCTGAACCAAGACAGCCATGTTGGCCATTGCTAAATCTGATTGAAAACTGCACACAGAAATTGTGTAGATGTTTAAATAGCATCATCATTGTAAGAAAAAATTATATATATATATTTCATATATATATATAATTTTTTATATATTCTTTTTACCCAGATGAAATTTGGTAATCATTAAAATCAACCAAAAATTATGATAGAGAAATGTCATCTCTGAAGTATATTAATGTAACATTGATTTTGGGTAATGTCAGTAAAATCAATGGGATCAGTGCTAGAGGTTTTCTCTTTCTTTGCAAGTTGCCACTTACAGGTGAAGACAAGATTTTAAAACCAATTTAAGAGACCAGTGAGTTTTCTCAAAAACTGTACAATTCTAAGGAACACCACTGTAAACTTTAGTATGAATTTGATATTTGCAATTTTTGACTTGGGTTCATATCACTGTCAAAGTGGCACTGTGAAAACCAATATCAAAACATGTGGTTACCAAAATAATAAAATTAAATGACTCATGAAATAAGTTCTACTAGAAATAATAATAATATATGCATTTTTAAATAAAGAGAAAAATATAAATTTGAAATTATAGTGATCTTGACTTAGCACTTTGTGGGAATTTTCTGTTGTTTGAAGCAAGATAAACACCAGGTTGTCACCCCTAACAATATTATTGTGTTCTGTATTGTGTGAAATGAACACAGATATGAAACCATTGTAGAAGTTACCTGAAGGGAATGTTGTAATATGCTTAATATTTCAGTAAAAAGTACTATTTTAGGTATAGAACTTTGACATTATTTTCCTAAAAATAGAATGGGTTGACATGCAGGATCATCAAATTAAGGGTCAAAGGTGACAAACCAGGACAAAGGGCATGCAGCTCATTTCAAGCAATCAGTTTCTAGTTTTTTCATGGCTGAACAAAAGCTTAATTATACAGGAAAAAGGACTTAGCATTGAATGGCCAGTTCTATTGGTGGGAAAACATGTTTTAAATTTTTTATAAATTTTCAAATCAATATTTCTTATTGGGGAATGTAAGAGCCAAAATACTACATTTATATTTTTCAAACAGTTCTTTTGTGTAACATTTCTTTCAGGCACTACAAAAACATTTCAGCTAAATAATTTATACTGTATAAGTTAAAAACAAAATTTACTTTTCTATAGATTAAAAATTTTAGAAGACGTGTAAATTATGTTTTGTCTTTTTTGCATTAGGTTTTGGTATAATCTCCTTTGCTAGTTAAAATCCTGATTTAAAAAAAAATTACATTTATTACACTATTTGGTCACTGGCTGTGATGTAAAAGTGAGCAGCCTCTAAAACATCTCTTGATCTTTATAAAGTGTTTATTGAAACTATTTCAAGTGCACTAAAAGTTTTCATTTAGTTGTTAATCTCTTGTGATATAAATTTTTAGTCATTAATGTATATCAAAACTTAAAATGTATATCAAATAAAATTGTTAATATTGTACTTATATAGAAATATTCAGGTTTACTTAAAATCATTTTTGTTTATCATATCAAGAAGCTCCCCTGGCTGGAATACTCCTCCCACTCATTAGCCCTTGAAATTACCCACTCCTATAAAAACTGACAGCCCCATACCCTGGGGCTGCTCTAGCCTTCTGAGATGCCCACACTGTCTGTGAAGTATGTTTCTCTAAATAAATACACTTCTTACCTATCCAAAAAAAAAAAAAAAATGAAGCCATTTTAAAGTTTTTGTCTTAAAGTTATGGTAAGCCTTCAAAATATATGTGATCAACTTCTTTAAGATGGGACTTCTGCCATTATTTTGACTCTTAAATTTAAAACCACACACAAATAAATAAATAAATTTGAAACCACTAATTTTTTCCTCCTATTCAATATGACCTCAACAAATGACTCAGCTGTGAGCTTTATTATATAAAACTGTTGTTTGATATGGTAGAAAATACAGACTATTTGCATTAGCAAACCCAACTGTGCCATGGCTTAGTTGTGTTACAACATTCACATTTAAGCTGAAGAATTGTGTTTACCAATTATTATTTGTGCTGTGGTTGGTACCTTTAAACAGTCTTGACAATGTGCCAGTTGACTTAAATGATTACCCTTTGAAATTTTTTATTTTCTAGAATATATTATCTTTCACTGCAGTAGTTGCAGAGAAGATTAGAGCTGCCCATATTTTATGTGAAATCAATAAAATTTCAATATGTAAAATGGTCAAGAAAGTTAAATTCATCTCCGATTGAGTAGCAGTATGATAAGTACTAGCCTTTAAGGTTAACTGTTTTTTAAATATATTATAAAAAGTAGTTTTTGCTTCATAAATATAAGAAATGTAATTTTGAAATGTTTTCTAAAGTAATATTGATTTTTTTCCATTCTCTAAAGATAATCTCAAAATAGTTCAATGAGGTTTCCTGTTTTAACAGGAAAACAATTACATAAAGTCACAAGTAAATATTTGTCTTAACTTCAGTTTCAAATAGGTTATTTCTTTAAATTTTATGTATCTGTGTATAATTGAAGGTGTAGCATTTTCAGTTTTTTCTGAAGTTACAGTAGGATGTTGAGTTAAATTACACAATAATTTACCCTGATTTTGCTTATGTGGCATTTGAATTTAGTCTGTTGACTAATTTGTAAAAATATAATTACACTGAAACATTTCCTAGCTATGAAACATTCCTTCACAGGAAACATTCCTTTACAGGACAGTTTAAGAAAATATTTTTCATAAAGCGCACACATTCATGTCAGCATTGAACTTCCACATCTAACATTTTGTTTCATATGTGTATATGCTATATTTAACTTACAGTAAGTGTAAATAGATATTGTGCTTTAGGTTTTACTCTGATTTTGTACTGTGTTCACTCTGGTGTTTGTGCTAGGTTTGCTGTGTGACTTTAAGTGATCATTTAAAAACTTTACCCCCAACCAACTGTTCTTCTAAGCAAGGAAAGTTACATTTCTGCCTACTTTGCTTTACAAAGATAGGTTGAGACATACTGTAAATAGACTAATTTTTTATAAGCCATGCATGAAGTGAATATTTAGCAAACTATAATGTACTTTGTACATACATTATTTTGAAAATACTAATGATAAGAAACAAAAGTTTGTTAACTTTTTGTAGATGTTGAGAAAATATGGTGATGAGAATAATGAAATAAATTTGCTTTTATTATGGTAAATATTCTTGATTACTAAACCAATTCTTTGCCAACCTGAAGTTACTGTTGCATTTTATTACTATTAGAAGTAAAATCTAACATGATGTAAATTGAATTTAAATAAAGTTCTCAATAATATGTAGCAGTATTTTATTTATTATTACTTAATTCTCTGGGCTTAACAGCTTGTCAGTTTAAATAAATTTTAGTATATAATGCATAGTAGTAATTGCTTTCCTTTACATTGAATAGGTACAATAGTAGATTAACAACAATATATAATGTACTTGAGAATATTATTTTACACATTTTACTAAGAGGAAATATGAAATCAAGTGTTTGTAATGAAGGGTGTTAAATTAGGCAATTTTATATTGGTATGTCTATAGTATATTTAAAATAAAATTATTTTAATAAGGTTACTTTATATGTACATATTTTATATTTACAGTAATCAAATGATTGTGTATCACATTCTCTTGAAGAAAAGATAGTTTTTAAGAAAAATTTGTTTATATGTCCATTTAATTCATAAAAGTCATCCTAGAGATAGTCAACCAAGGTTCAGAAGTTCATTGTCATCGATTCATTAAAAAAAGATGTATTAAACACTAAAGAATGTTAGGATTACAATGATGAGCTAAATATACACTCTCCTTCCCGCCATAGAGCATAGAGTTAAGTTGGGAGAGCGAACAGCATCTTCATGAGCAGTTACAGTTAACTACAGTACAGTGCTGAATGGTAGAGGCATTGTACTGAACAGTAAGGAAAAGAGGGCTAAATGGAGATTTAAATGATAACTAGGGATTATTCTAGTGAAGGGGCAGATAAATGCATTATAATAAATAAAAATGCCTGTATAAAATTATAAAAAAGCTGTTTTGGGACTATTTCACTGCCATTAAAGAATTACTTTCATTATTTATCATTATTATTTCTTTTAAAAAAAGTCACCTATAGTAAGAATATGAACATTTAATACTATGAATATTTTATATAACATTAATCTATCATCCCTGTCATAGTTGTTCATATAGCTAGATTTTCATGTTCGTATTTAAACAATTCTACTTTCTCTTCCAACTCTTTTGTTTTTGAAAATTTTTAAATCATTATTTAACATCATTGGAATATATTGATATCTGTGAAATAATTCCACCTTTTCCTTTGAAAAGGATGATAACATTAAAACTATCAATAACTGAAAACATCACATGTAAGTTTGGATAGTGAAAAATCTGAACATCTTTATCATTCAGAGTGACTGGATTTCATTAAACCCAGAGGGCTCTTAGTTAGAAATCTTAAAACTGAATAATGTTGTTTAGCTAATTCTTACACCATTTGATGTTTCGTTTATTAGATCTATCATTTATGGTAATTTTGCACCTGAATTATTTGAAAAAATAATTTTTGCAAATACTTTCTATGTTTTTTCCACAGCTTTTGAATGTTATTTTGAACATTTTTTGTAAATATAAGCAGAGAAAATTAAGCCTGGGCTGTGGGCTATTAGAAAAATACGAGCTACGTTTTGCTGAAATTTATGTGTAATATTTAAATACACCCTCACATAAACCAAATGTGCAAAATTAATATATGTTCAATGTAAAGGAAAAGTACTTCAGTAAGTTTTGATAATGAATTTTGTTAACATTAGGATCTATCATTATCTCTGTATTTTGGTTGTAAACAGAGGATAACTGAAGGATTTAATGTACAGAGGTTCACGTGCCTTTTGTTCACATTCTTCCTCTATTCTTTTCAAATCTTACTCAGTGGAGTTGTCATCCTTTGTAAGGAAAATCTTGGGTCAACATTCAGTAGAACTCTGAATTTGGAAAAACCTCCATTTTGCTTTGAGAAAAAACTGAGATTGTGACTTGAGAATTTACACACAATGATTTATTTTTTTGTGAATTGATTTAGTAGATAAAAGAGTGTAAAACTTAGTTAAGAGGGGAATGACATCCTGATAGTAGCAGGTGAGTGGATGCATGTTCAAACCAATCTATTTTGCAAGCCATAAAGCTCTGACCTGAAGATAAAAATGATAATTCAGTGGTCATCAGGAGTTTTAGTTGCAATCGCTGTATTTCATTACTGGGTGACCTCTTTATTGCAAGTGTTGCTGTACTGTGACATCTGCCAGTGGATATATTTGAAAATCATTACTCATTTTTAAAAAAGAACTGTTTTTTCTTTATAAAATCTGTGTTAATGCACATTAGATTCCTTTAGTTAAATTTATTCAGTGATTAAATTTACCACCATTAAAGTTAATTTTTTTCTCCCTAAGTATTTATATGTAACAGACCCAGGATCAGTGGTGTAGTATCACAATAGAGTCTTATGATTTATCTTCTAAAAGATGCCTGAAGAGAATAGTCAAATAAGTTCATCAAAGAACACAATATTGTGGGTTGGGTTCATTGTTAACTGTGGTTAAAAATGGGATTCTTGAATTGCAGTGTAAAATTAAATATTACAAAATTTTTAAACTGCATTGTTTCTGAAATCTCGAGATTGACTACATCTTAATAGGTTTTAGAACGGTTTTTAAACTATTGTCCTTGAATTGGAATGAAAGGCAAGTTTATGCCAATTGGTTATCTAATTTTGCTAGGTGAGTCTTAAATTGTAAAAAAAAAAAAAGTTTACAGGTCACTTCACAGAGTCAAAACCTAAGCATTTTACTGCTTTCTAATGAGCCATTAAGCTGAAGAAGAGTCAATTAAATGAGCAATTAATGTAGTACTGATTTGAGCTCTCTGATTTTAGGTTCTTCAGAAGACAATGAGGTCATTCAACCAGGTTTCATCAGCCCCAGGTTAGTCTTTTTTTCAATTACATTTTTACTTAACATTTATTTAAAAAGATCACTGGAGGCATATGAGAAAATGTGACAGCTTTCAGAAGTTCTCCACTGTGGCAAGATGGGTACCATATATTCTACTGTACTCCGGATTGCTTCATTTATAAACTGGTGCTCCCACCAGAATTGCAAGGGTGAAATCTTCTAATTAACTCTTTTTCCTCCTAATTTTAGCAGTATTGAATTTTGTGATTCCTTTTTCCCTGTCTCAGGCAAAATAGATATTTAAATGCTTATGGACCTGAATAAAAAGTAGTTGTGGTTTGTTCCTTTCTGTAAGTCCTTTTGTTAAGTTCATTTTGAAAAGACGCACTCACAAGTATTTGTTAAATTAACGACAGAGACTTGCTGCTCTTTTTAAATAATTTACTGTAAGATAAATAGTTCGATATGTTAGACATTTTTTCATGAAATTAGAGAATTTTCCTAATCTAGGAAATTCCCATTTATTTTGCTTTTCACCAGTTTGTATCAAATTAGTTGCTCATTATATTATTAATAGGCTTCCATGGAGGCTCAGATAGTAAAGATTGCTCCTGCAATGCAGGAGACCTGGTTTGACCCTGGGTTAGGAAGATTCCCCTGGAGAAGGGACTGGCTACCCACTCCAGTATTCTTGCCTGGAGAATTCCTTGTACAGAGGAGCCTGGCCGGCTGCAGCCCATGGAGTTGTGAAGAGTGGACGTGTGTAGGCAAATAACATACTATTAATACAAAATGAGTCATGTGATCTTTTAACATCTTAAACCTACACTTCAAAAATATATATCCTTTCATTTGTTAAGGTGTGCTTTAAAAGCTAGGTTTTTGATGTATAAATATTCTCTTGTATTAGTGAAGCTAACTGAAAACTGACAGCACTCATCTTTCGGAATGGTTTTATTAGTAACGATGTATTGCCAGGCTTCCCCCTTGGCTCAGCGGTAAACAGGCTAACTGCCATGCAGAAGACACAGGAGATGGGGGTTCAGTCCCTGGGTGGGAAAGATCCCCTGGAGGAGGAAATGGCAACCCAGTTTTCTTGCCTGGAAAATTCCATGGACAGAGGAGCCTGGCGGGCTGCAGTCCATGGGGTTGCAGAGTTGGACCCACTGAGCCCCTGAGCACTCATGCATGTGATAGTGTATTATTCTGGCTTCTGCTCTTGTGGATTTAATGTCTTGGCTCTTCTCTTGACTAATGCTATCAAAACTCTTAAAAGCTATAAGATGACAGTTCATGAGCATTTTTAAGTACAAATAAAAAGATATTCTAGTATTAAGCTTATCAAATACAGGATTGTAGGTAGAGGAAAGCAGTAGGGATCAAAAGGTTTAGTGAGGAGACCACTGATTGGCATTGTCTTTTGACAGCACTTTACTTTTTTTCTAGAGTGAATCCTTTGACATAGAGGTGATGCTCTAAAGAGTACCATGAAAAAGAAGATTCTGAAAAGTTGCTACAATATATTAATTTACCAACTAGTTTCTCCTTACTGTCTATTGTGGTTTTCCTCTGGGGGCAAACTGGAGGCAGTCCAGAGGCCTTTTTCTCTTCTGCTGGAAGTAATGTTAACACCAATGTGTTAAGTGAGTGCAATAAAGTTTCATGTCTGTGTTTCCTTGTGATTAAAAAGGGGTTGGCCAGGGAGAGGTTGTACTTTCCCCCAAAGAAAGATTATTGTCAGAGATTACATTTACGCCTAAAACTTGAATATCAGCTGCTTCAGGGTCCTCACTTTGCAGGTAAAGAAACTGAGGGCTGGAGAAGTTTAATGATCCGAGGTCACAAGGTCATCAAATGGGACCAGAACTCTGGCCTCCAGTTTGTAGCTGGATGCTTTTTCTCCACAGATTTTCCTCTCACACAGACATCTTTAAAGCCTGAAGATTTCTTCTCATTTGCCTCATCTTTTACTCTTGTACTGTTTTTTCCCTTTCCATTTTCCTCCTACCTATCATTTTCCCCCAAATAAACTGAAAATGAAGATATTAAAGGAAATACCTAGGAAACAGCCCCTAATCTTAGTTATTTGTTTTGATGAGATTAAGTTTTAAAGAATAAACTCATTCATTGCTTTCAGAGGGGGAAAAATTGTATGCTTACATTATTTACTGTCATTTCTGTAGACTCAATGTTTATTGCAAAAAGATCTTTTAAGTTATGAGGCATACCTGTTCAAGTAGTACAGGTGAAAAACATGGGACTCATTTTTTGAAATAAAATACAACCTTCATTTTGTGCTATTCTGGGCAAGGTATAATAACTAAATGCTTATTACTAAATGATTTCTCTAACATATCTGTCATAATTAAAATTACATAGCCAAGTGTTTGTTTAGGACAATTCAGAAAATATTTGGGAGGAGTGATAATAAAATTTTTATTTTTTTGTTTTAATTGAAGTATGTTAACTGATTTTTTTGCTATTCGTTTTAAAAAATAAAACTTTTTACAAAATGGTGTTAAAGTAATATCCCCTTTCTGAAATAATTTTGTTGTTCTAAATACTTAACTAACCAAAATGAAAACGTTTGCAAATGCTTGTTTTCAAGTATTGTAATGCTTGAACTATAGAGGCAATTTGGAAAACTTAAAATGCTATCGTTTTCTGTATTTCCATTATTTTATTTAGTTATACCTGGGGAAATATGTTAAAATATTTAAGGAAGAATTTTCAGAGGTTTTTATAGCTGTGTAAAAATTACCAAATCGGAACAATTGTGTTAAGACAGAGCATTTTGCTTTCAGATAAGGAAATTAAATGAGAACGGAATTGTGCTTTCGAAAAAAAAACAAATAGCCCCCATATTCTGAAGTGCCTCTGTTGTAAGAACAACAGCAGAGGCACTCCTTTCATTTGACTCCGTATTGTAAGAATTTCAAGAAAGTTACTTGCCAGTAAAGGAGTTTACTGAAACGCAGTGGGAGGGATCGGCAACAGTTTGCCCGACGTGCGGGTCCGCAGCTTTTGGGCGGGAAACCTCACGCCGCGGGCAGAGAAGGGGTTCCCTAAAATCGCCCCTGGTCGCCCTCCACTCCCTTTGCCCCCCACCGGCTTCCCCACAGACGGCTTTTCTTGACCCTCCAAAGGCGCACGGCGACGTTTTCGTGGCTTCCCGAAAAGACGGCGGCGCCAGGGGTCTGAAGACAGCTCCATTTTAGGCATGGCCTGGTCGGGGAGTAGGGGGTGGGGTGCTCCTTTTCTTGGCTTCTTCTGATAACCCCCCCCCCCCCCCGACCCCCGACTTCACTTTTCTAACTGCGGAGACTTTGACATATCACAGATGAAGAGATAAGATTATAAATGATACATGTCTGGAAATGCAATGAAGGTAGCAGATTGTGCCAAACGTTGCCTCCATCCCAGTGGAGGCAAGGGTTCCTTTTGTTCGGTGTTCATTTGGTTGGGACAAAATGACAAATGTGAAAGTACCCTAACTAGTGAAAAACCCTCAGCCTTCTTTGGAAGGGCTAAACTTCTAGAACTGAGGTGGTGATGTGGTGAATAAAGAAAAAGGTGACCGGAGAGAGAAAGGGGAGAGGAAGTGGCAAGGGCGGGCGGTGGAGGGAAGGGGCAGAGCCGCTGACCTGGGGGTCTCGGCGAGCTTGGGGCGCGGGGCTGCGCGTGAAGCTCCGCGGGGCGAGGGCAGAGCGGGCTGCGGACCCCGGCCCATTCGCCGGGAGGGGAGCACGGGTGGAGCCGCTCGCCGTGGTGCCGCAGCCCCTCCTCCTAGTTTTAAGAAGAACCGAAGCATTGTTTCAGCCTGTATAGAAGTCACTCATTGCTTTTACTTGAAAACAACAACGGTGGGCTCTGGGACCTCTTTCGGTTGCTTGCATTGTACTGTTGGAATTTTTAAAAGAAAGAAAAAATGGTGTATTTCGTTTCTTAACTGTAGAAATTTTAGATTGTGATAATCAACGGGCATTTAATAGGTTATTTCGTTGATTTTTTTTTTTTTTACCCCCAGTGTGTTGGGGATTCTTTGTAGCTACTTGAACTCATTTTAAAGACATTTTGAAAGAAGTATGATAAATCAAGCTACTGAAACATTTGGCTTCCACGAGTATAAAACATGCGTTTTGAGTCAAGCACAGGTCTTTCTGGCACTAAAAACAAGTAGGAAATGAGAAAAAAATTAAAACCAGAAGACTTCAGGAAGGTGACAAATTGGAAAGCGTTCTAGGAGATTCAAGGGACCATTTTAGGTGAAAGAAGAACTCTATGAGCTTAAAAAGATTATGGTTAGTTTTAAACAAGGCTCTTAGGCTCAAAAGATTGAGGGCAAGGAGCAGGAAAAGATGAGTCTATTTTCAAAGACAGTGCCATATCCCTGAAATGGAAACTGGTATTTTCTGTCACTGTCTCCTTTCTCTTCCCCCACTACCCATTCCCTTGCCCGCTTCTCCTCCCTTTCCTCTGCCCGAGTCTCCTTTCTTTTACTCTCCGCACTCCCCCTCCCTCCACCAGGTATGTAAATGCATTTGCCTTAAATTCTCTGTGAATGAATGTTAGAGGATTTCTGAAAGTTCCCAGTTGGAAAAAGCTTTCTACACGACTTGAAAGGCCGATGTCCCTCTCAGGAAATGAATGAGTCGATAACCTCTGACACCAGTGACCAGTCCAGTGAACCCTACCTTAATTCCACTAATACTGGAGGCCCCCATTCCAGCAAAACTGAATCTCATAACCCATATCATCCAAATGTGGTTCACTTATGGTATTACTCCCACTTTTCATCTATGTATTTATAGGCTTGAATTTCATCACATTGAACAAATAAGATCCAGAGCCCACCTACATGTTTCTGAGTTTATGCTGATTAGGCCATTTTCTGATTAAAAACAAACACAGATAAAATATTGTTTATCGTAGACGTGTGTCAGTGACAACACTAAATTACACTGCCTGTGAATTTTCTAATTTTACATAAATAATGACATTTCCTCAATTGTGTTAATACTTTTCATGTTATTATTAGATGTTGATTTTTAAAAGTGATTCTTTCATTTAAAATATTAAAACCCCCACTATTGATTTAAGTTAATTTTTATATTTCCTGTTATTCAAAACATTTAACCTGGAGTACCATTGTTAAAGTTATTGCATTATAGGTCAGTGTAATCAGTTGATTTCTAATAAAGTAATGTCAAGTAAATGTTTTGTTGGCAATTTTTTTTTTGAGAGCTTCAAGCTTTTGGGACTCTTACAAAATCATTTGCATTTTTATACTTTTTCTTTCCTCCCTACCAGCTGGCACATGGTTATCTCCCCCTCTCCACCAAAGTAAATAAAATGAGATAGCTTTGCTCCCTTTCTTGAGAAACAACAAAAGAAAGAAACAGACGAAAAATCTTTTCAAATTCATCAGTCTCCATTGAAGCCTTTTACCACAAACAGCTGAAAATAATTAATTTATATACATCCATTTATTTCAGATCTGAACTAATTAGTATAATTGTCCATTTCATTGTTTAATATGGGGAGGAGGTGTAAGTAGGTGGATTCTGTGGGTTTTCCAAAGCTTTTGGACTCAGAATCCTTACGTTTTAGTTTGTGTGAAACAGTGCTAAGAGTTAGGAGTGTGTTGGGGGGGGGAGGTGGATTGCGGGTTTGGTGGGGGAGGGTAAACTCGGTAGCTTTGCCGAAGGGAAGTGGTATCTGTACAGTTTCTCGGTAAACTGCTTGTTTAAGAAAATGGGGGGTGGGGTGGGGGAAAGGGTGGTGGTGCGTTTAAATGTTTCAAAGACCGGTGTTATTTTATATTCTAAAGGAAATCAAGCATTTCCAGTTGATCTGTAGTATTTACTGTAGTAGCCGATGAGGGAGGCAATATTGGTGTCAGCATCTAGTAATCAACAATCGTTTGTAACAATCTGAAAGGTAAAAGGATAAGCAAGCATTTTGAAGCTGGGGGGCTGGCCGTGGAAGGGACGGTAGGAGCCTAATCCGTTATTAAATTTTCGTTTATTCAACTCTTGTACCCACTGGTAGTGCACTTTTAAAATGTCAGGGTCCAGTCAATAAGATGTGAATTTACCTTCTTCCTCCCACTGCCCCTCTTTTCCACCCCTCCCCCCACCCTCGCCCGCTGTTTCTCCCCCACCTCTTTCTCTGGCTCCTCTTCACCTCGCCTGCCTGGCGCTCCCCTCCCCCTCCCTGCCCATACATACGTCGCCTTGCTCTTGGGGAACAATCGCCACTGATTGAGGTTCACTCTATGTTAGGCTGGAAAACTGGGCTGTTATTTAGGAAGTCATTAATCACATCTCCTCCCCCGGAAAGAGATGGCGGAGAAACCTGTGAAGTACAATTCCTTACCAACCCCCTCCAAAATGTTCCGAAACGGTAAACCTAAACACAATTTGACTGCATGAAGGTGATAGCGATTTTTCCGGTAGGATTTTATTTTAAATTTGAAAAATATTTCAGGGCACAATCAGGTACTTGTGTGCATTTCTCTTACTGTGGGTGTAGGTTACCAATATATAAAGTTTCATGGATATGTAATTAGGTTCAATTAGATCTTTTGTAAATTACATATTTTCCTCTAAGAATTGAATCAAATGTGAAATTTGCATCCTAAACAGGTTTGTTGTTACCAATCAGTTGAATTCTTGGGAGGGGGGGAGGAAGCATAACATCGGTTGCTTTATTTAAATGGCTCTTCCCCCCTAAATGAGATTATTTAGACAGGCTTGTGTGTAAGGCACGCGTGTGCACATATATGACTGTGCCGTTTCTCTAAATCGACGATTCACAAGGACCCTCCATTGTGTTTAAGTAACAGCACGAAATCGGCATTCTGATTTATCGTAAAGAAGCGTCCCAAATTGTCTTTAAGATAACGTGTTTGAGTTTTTCGCGTTCATTCATAAGTTATTTTGATGTCAGCATAGATGAAATGGCGATTGGTTATCTCTTCCTCTTGCCAGCCCCTTAAGGGTCCGAGGTGAAATTAGTAGCAAGAAAGCATGTAATTGACAAAGTCACGTGTGCTCAGGGGGCCAGAAACTGGAGAGAGAAGAGAAAAAAAATCAAAAGAGGGAAAGCACATTAGACCATGCGAGCTAAATTTGTGATCGCACAAAATCAAGATGTTAGATTGATGCAGAAGACCACTCCGTTCCAAAGGGAAAGTTTTCATCTCACGAGTTTGGAGCAGAGGGCCCGTGGGGCAACATGGCCGAAGGTTAATTTTCTTTTCTATTGTTTTACTGTGATTTTCTCTCTTCCTTCTCCCCCTCCCCCTCTCCCACCCTTCTTTGCCCGTCCCCCCCTTCCCCTTTTTACCCCAATACTGAGCAATACCCCCACCCCCCCGTCGCGCAGTGGGGCTTTCTGCAACCTATTGTTATAGATCTCCAAAAATGTTTTGTACCGCCCACACTGATTCACAACTTGAAAAGCTTTCAGGGGGCTATTGTTTGAATTGTTTGAGTGTGATTAAGCGCAGTTTCAGTTAGTGAGCCCGAGAAAACTTTTATACACCTGCCCCCTCCCCCATTCCACCCCAACTTTAATTGAAAGTTATTGGGGGGGAGGGGAATGCACATTGCAAATAACCCTGGATTCAATGCTGCCGCATGTGCATTAACTAGTTCTAATCATCTTCACGATTTCTTTCCTCCTCGTGCATGCCGGAAAGAATTAGTTTCGCTGAAAATTTCTTTTTATAAATGGGATCAGTGTTAAATCAGCAATATGCAAGTAAAGTATCGCATGCTGAAAAACGGAGTTAAATGAAAAAGTACACGTATGTACAGAAACGTAGAAGTTGTGATCGATAGAACACTGTGGCTTCCTCCCTCCTCCGCTTCCCCCTTTAACCCTTTAATTTATTTTCTGCAGAAAAAAGGAATCAACCATTTAGTAACCCCCCCCCCCCCCATTTCCGCTCCCCGATCCCCACTCCCAGGCAGGTTTTTTTTTTTTCCCCCCCTTTGAATGAACTGTTTGGGACTACTGACTAACTGACTTTTTTGTCCTGTTCTACTCAGGCGGGGCAGGCAAAGGTGGTGGAGAAGAGCCCGGGAAGCTGCCAGAGCAGGCAGAGGACGAATCCCAGGTTTTGCACGGAACTGGCCACTGCAAGTGGTTCAACGTGCGAATGGGATTTGGATTCATCTCCATGATAAGCCGAGAGGGAAGCCCCTTGGATATTCCAGTCGATGTATTTGTACACCAAGTAAGCCAGACTGTGGGTTTTTTGTTTTTGTTTTTGTTTGTTTTTTGCTTCCCGTCTTTACCTTTTTCTATGTGGAGGAGCTGACCGGTAGTTTTGTCAACTGACTTACAATAATGTGGCCTTCAAAATCTTCTTTAAAATCACGAGTGATTGCAGTTTTTAGGGTATGTGCATGGGCTCTTTCATGCGTTTCTTTTCCTAAACAGAAAATGAAATCTTTGAAATTTCAGTTCTGAGTGCTGGTTGACTGAAGTAATTTCCCCTCTTCTTTGCACAGCGAAATTGTCGTAGTGTAGCTTCCGGTGTTACTGGTTACAATACATTGTGTGGCTTGTGTCTGGGAAATGAGTGGGAAATGAATTAAGAAACGATGATCATACCAAGTTAAAACAACAACAACAACTGCCAATTTGTTACTATAAGAATCTCTAGGTACACTTATTTTAGACGCCTCTAATCACGGTAGCTTCCCCAATTATTTTGTATTTGCCTGTAGCCATTTGTAGATCAAGTTAAAATAATTTGGTTTCACAGTAAAATAAAGTCGGATATTGTTGATCAAGTATGGATATGAAGAAATGCAGGAGAGGATTTTTGGTAATCAAACATTTTAGAAACGTGCTCCATGTAGGGCATAGGTCCAAGGATACTGTCTCTTTAAGAGACTGAACTCAAAAAAACATGTGGCCAGTGGCGGCTCGAGTTTGTGTGTTTAAAATGTACTAGTTGCCTACTTGGGGCATATTTCCCCCGTTGCTTATATTGTGTTGTAATTTTAAAAGATGCTTAAATACCAAATATGATGTCTTTTCTTCTCATTTTTGAAATTTTATCCGGAAACAAGAAAATGAATACATCTTACCCTTTACCTCTTCTCTTCATAGTAAAAAAGGTATCTACAAGTTTGCAAGCTTGATTATTTCATCCAAAGAAGTTGGAGAAATGTAAATGATCTGTAATGAATTATTCCAAGTAAAGGAATTTAAGACTAAAGAGGTTTATTTTAGCTTGACATCTTAAGTTAAAAAGAATTGAATGCAAGGATATCAGTCCTACAGGTTGACTAACATAGATACATGCAGGAAATACTTAGTGTATTTGCAAAAACATTATGTTTTGATTGATAGTACGTTGCATGTTCCTGGTAATAATTTACAACCTCCTTTCCTCCCTAAGGAATATCATCTTCAAATTAAGTATATAAACAATAGAAACATATGAAACCATTTTGTTTTGATCTGTTGTCCTGTGCCTGGTAGCTTCCTGACCTTGCTGGGTGGTGTGTTTTCCTTTCCTAAAGGCCTGGCTATCATTATTGGCTGTTTACATGTGGAAGGATCAGCATAATCTGTGAATTGAAACAGGGTTTAAATACATAAATAGAAGTCCACAGACAGGCTACTGGATTTTATGCCTCCTATTTTATATGGCAGAATGAAGCCACATTTTCTGCTTTTTCTCCTCCCTACAGAGAATGACTGAAATCACTGACAAATCCATCTTCTCTCAGACTCTGACTTTCCCCCCTTTGAGCCTGCTTTAGGTTGTTAAATTGTTCTTTACAGTCTCATAAATTTGTTTTATAGATGAATGAAAAAAAATAGCCCTTTTCTTCTTTGTCTTATCACACCTTGTTATAATTTGGTTTTCTGTGTTTACCTTTTATTATATTCAAGTATTAGACATTTTATTAACTGATATTAATGTTTAGAACAATGAGTCATCCAGTTGTAAGCTATTTCATGGTTATATGTTCATAAGCATTCCTATATCTACCAAATTAAGAAATGCTGTATTGCTGGAAAAGTTTTTTTTTATATAAATAGTGAACAGTTTCTAGAGTACAACATAGATTATTCATATTAGATTAACTTTAATCTTGTTACACATCATGTATTTACTAAAGAATAGTATTAAAATGATGTATATTATTAAAAAAAGGTCTCAAACATATGTGGATTTTTTCATAAAAACAGTCTGGATATATTCTTAGGAAAAAGTATGTAAAAGTCAATAAAACCTAAGTATTAGTATTTTTGTGATGTAAGAAAAATCAGGGCAGTAATAATCTTTAAATTTAAAATTAAAAAGTGATATTTAAGACCTTTTTAATGGTTACAGTATTTGTGTTTTAAAATATATTTATTTTTCTCCAGGGAAAATTATTTTGAATCAGTTTCTTTGTTATTGTTTCTGGTTTTGTTTCTTCTTGACTTTGATGCCTAGGTGAAGGGGTTTCTGTCTTATATTTATAACATATAAATTGCATATAACTCATGAATAATTATTTTGAGAAAGACAGGATTCCACTGATTTCAGCCAAGCAACTGCAAGTAACAATTTGATGGCAATAATGATGTGTGCAGGTATCATGTGAGCATCACTTTGCAAAATCAGGTTGTGTTTCATGATCATTTCATAAAAGTTTTTAAGACATTTAAAAAATTATTTCTTAGCTGCCGTTTTTACTGTATGAGCATTTTTGAAAGCATACTAGATTTTATGTATAATTATAAATTAGATTTTCCCCATTATATACATATTATTTTGTAATGAAAAGGCATCATAGATAATTAAGAATTTTAAATGTGTACCTGCAGTGTCACCTAATTATTATTTTAAATATATGAAATAATGGAGTTTTTTGGGCTGTTTAGAAGTACATGTGTTACTGGAGTTTTAAAAAAGTATTCTGACACATGTTTTGAAGAGTATATATTCAGGGAAATTAAAAAAATTATTTTAGTTATTTTAAAATAATATTTAAAAATTCATGCCAAGGCACCCAGGATATTTTTTTCTCCTTTAAAAATATTGACTGCAAAGAACTGCACATCAAAAGCATTAAGTTGCTGTGAAAATTAAGAGAATATATGAATGTGTTCTTAAAATAGAGCTGGACATTTTTGGTTACATAATTCTGTTTAAAATTTATTGTCAGGAATACAGTCAAACTTTGATTTAGTTTCTATAATATCACCAAGTCCTGAAAAATAAACCCAAGACTTAGGTACTGTCCTTTCTCTATCTTCAGACCTGTTGATAAACATAATGAGACTGCTGTTTGAACATGGTGTGTGACTATTGGTTTAAAATGACTGTGTTCATTGGACTTCCTGATGTTAACTGGTGATTTAAATAATCGTATTTTTATGGATTTGTAATGAATAGATGTATTTTGACACATGTTAATAGTGAAACATTGATAGCATTCAGTATTTTTTAAAACTTAACAAAAAGGTATAAATGTTATATTTGTGAATTTTGTCATAGGTCTCTGTTTTAAGATGTTCCTTAAAATATTTGATAATGATTTAGTTTGTAAATAGGATAAATTTGTAGGGATTTCTTACTTAAGCAAACAGTGCAAAACAGAATTTTGTCTCTCGACTGAAGGAAGAATACAGATGGTTAATACAGATTTGTAATACAGAATATAGATGGTTAATACAGTAGGAAGTATAGCTTCCTACTCAGGTTATGTCAAATTATATAAGTGCTAATAATTAATAATCTTATCAGTTTATTATTATTAATAAGTTTTTTAAAATATTCACCCACAGTTAGATTGTAGAGTAACATGTTTAAATTACCTGGAAAGGTCTCTGACAATTTTCTGAAATATTGTAATCTTTTAATAGGACTTAATATGTGATGATATTTTTAAATGAATCACATGGTAATTAAATACTAGATCCTTTATGAAGGAGGGCAGTATTACTCAATAACTACCTGTTGATGTTGTTATGTAACTTTTTCTTTATGTAGATTTTTACATTTATATTTAAAGTCATTACCTCAACTAATAAGATAAAATGATTATTTGAAATTTGTTTTGTCCAGAGGAAGGATAGAATCCATTCTCCTTATTACCCTCTCTATAGCTTATTTGCATAATATTTTCTTGCAGAGTTATGTATTTGGGAGTGTTAGCCTTCAACTAGAATACAAAGAATTTTTAACAAATATTTCATTTGCTTCACAATTTATGTAAGAATTTTTTTCAAAAATGACCATCCTTTAGCTATTATCTCTTAGTTGTCTTCAATGGTATTTTAATTTGGTTTTGGTCTTTATTTACCTTTTAACTATTGATGTTTTCTCCTTATGCTTTCTATTTCTGATTTATAGTTTGATGTTTTTGGAGAATACAAATGCCTGTGTTACAAAGATTTTATATATTTATGTTCCTTTTATTACTTTCTCAAAAACATTTCAAAGAATAATGGAAATAGAAGAAATAAGAGTAATTATTACAATATAGGATATAAAAATATTTGGAGATGGCTAATATTTAAATATATAAAAATTGAAGTATTGTACACAGTTAAACTGACGTAGGACAGAGTTCATGTCTCAGTGTGTTTAACATTAATTAGCTACACACTTATGAAAGTTAATTTACTACAATGTGCTCATGTTTAAGGGTTTTTCATAATGTTTAATTATTAATTTATTAGCCATATCACTTTTGTTATAGTTAAGTATGAAAACATTTTCCAAACTCAGAATACATATGATTATTTTTATCCTTGGTGCTGTTGATAAATGTCACTGTAAAAAAAATACATATATTTAGATCGAAATCTTGGAAATTTAAAATGTGATCATGTAACAGTTATAGCTAATTTGTTAGTGAGTTATGCATGTTAACATTTTGAAAATGGTTCCTAAAACTACTAAATTTTCAAGATGAATTACTCAGTTGACCAATTCCGAAGAATCCCAAGTGAAATGCTTTAAAGTCATTTAATCATAAAGTCACATTTAAAGGTATTTAAATAAAAAATTTATAAGGCTTTAATTATTTTAAAAGATAATGGGTACTTTCCTTCTGGTTTTCAAATGGTGATCCATTTATATATAACCATTTATACTTCTAAAGTGATATTCTTATTTGGTTTAAACATGAAATGAGAATTGTGTACATAATTAAGACATTGTCTTTCCTCCTTGTTTTAAGCAGTATTGCTGTAACTCTTAAATATTTCCCTCTTATT